CGCCGCCACCACCACCGCCACCACCGCCGCCGCCGGCCGGCACACCGTTGTTGCTCTGATACGCGTCCTGTTGCTGTTGTTGCTGCTGTTGCGTGGCACTCGCCTGTTGGCTGCCCGTCACATTGCCAGATTGGTTATTACCTTCTCGTTGCTTCACCTGCCCGGATGAGCCGTTCGTGCCGGCGGGACCATTGCTCCCGTTGTTGGAGCCGTTGTGTTGCTGATGTGGCGGCGAGGGCGCTCCGTGATGGTGCCCAAGCATCACCGTCGGCTTGATGTCGCACGAGCTCGCACCGGACGCGCCTAGCGCGTCTTGATGGTGCATAAACGCGCCCATCACCGCCGCGTGAGCGACCGCCGCTTGGTACTCGCTGGTAGTACCACCGCCCAACCCGGAGAGAGGATTACCGCTGTTATTATTATTCGCGCTCGTGGAATTGTTGTTATTCGTGCTGGAGGTCGTGCTGGCGGTTATGCTGTCAGGCGTAGCGTCCTTGGGCGGTGTCGGCGGAAAGGAGAAGAGATGGTGACCGCCGCCACCGTGACTCGATAAACTTCCAGTGGTGGGCGGCAGCGAGGATCCCAAGGGACTCTGCGGTTTCTCGTCGTTCACAGCGCCGCCCGTGGTCGTCGTCGCGGGGAATCCCCAGGGTGTCTTCGAGGTGTCCGCGCTGCTGCCGGAGAGCCACGGATGGAGTACCGAGCTGTGGAAGTGCGGCCGGCAGACTTGGCTCACTGGACCGCTCGACACGCCGCTGCTCGACATCCTCGCTGAAAAGCAAACGAAACGTGGAACGTTTAGACGGGATAATGCACGTAATGCACGTGTAAATGCGAATAAATAATTATAAATATGTGTGAATTGTATCGATGTTCAATATCTGTACCACGGAACATATTTTTTCACGCGAAGGAACATGAGTTCTGAATCCTTGGGATTCACTTACTAAAGTTTTTATTAGTTTTACTTTTTAAGAACTTTTCTAATTAACTTATCTAATTAAATAAATTCTCATCGCACAAAGTTTAATATCCTGACATCACTGGCGAAATCATTACATGTTACGATGTCGACGGACGAGTAGTATATTTCACAATGCGGACGGAATTTTTTGTTCCTAATGTAAAGGAGAATGAAAATAAGTCATGTAATTTAAGGCATTGATTGTTCCAGCTATTAAAGGAAATTTCATTGCCGCTGCTGACCTGCCATAAATATTTTTATAAACTCTGCCATGAAGAACTTGAACAGGTGTCTTGCGAGAGTGCGATCGTGCCTCGCTCGAGAAATCGTTTTATCTGAGAGAATGGTAGCCACATGAGAGGAGTATAGATATGCTGTCGTAGCAACGACCGTCACGAGAAGGAAGAACCTGATTCACGTGCGTGCTCGGAATGATCGGATTTTATACCGATCGTAAAGGCCTAATTGCAACAGGCGTCTTAATTAAGTGCGAGACCCGCTAGCTTGGTACGCGGTATTATGACTCTTCTTCCTCTTGTCCTTACAACGAACGACGTGTATCATTCTTCGATTGAGTTTGAAGCCATCACGATTCGCTTTATACACGATAAAACACTGAACTTACCCACGCGTAATTAATTCTTCATTAGCAATCTTAATTTCGTTCTACGGCATTAGAGGAGCGTGTCCACCAGCATGATGTCGCGCCGACCAGATCGCGTTATGTATGCGTACCGGCTAGACGACGCGCGTTCGTCCGTTTTATCGTGTTTATCAACAAGAAAGAGCGCTATGTAAATGTCGGATCGAGAAATGGTGCTGCTCGCCTGACGCTAATTGCGCTCCGAGTTCGAATTAGACCGCGTGTCGCATGTGGAAGTCGCGCGAGCGTAATGATTGCGATATCACCGATAACTTTTTTTTATTCTCCTTAATGGCTGGTTTTTCTTTTAGACTTGCAGTTTTTTTTTTTTTTACGTACGAATCATTGAAGAGTCGCATCGGAGCCCAATAAATTTTAAATCGAAACTGATTTTTTTTTTTTTTTTTAATTGAAGTGGCTATGAAATTCTCGCGCGCGTTGACACGTATTGTCAGATTTTTAGAATAAATTGTCACTCCGAAAAATAAAACTTCACTCTTAAAGGGTTTCTTATATATATAAACAATAATTCATTACCTAAGTTTTAAGTCACAAGCTAATTACTACAGTCAATGTAAGAAGAATAGTCGACTATAATTGGTTAATTTTTTACGGCTTAAAACTTAAAGCTTAGACAACGGTTTATTGAAGAAAGTCTATTATAGATTGAAAATTGAGCTACTCTTTTCAACAAAACCAACTTAATTTTTACTCTTTAAAATAAGATTCCACTCCAAAAAATGTACAGAATAAATATGCCACTGTAAAAACGATCATATCGCTTTAACGAGAAGATAATTAAAAGCCAAAAAATCTGGCATGGTTACGATGTCTAAAATTAGAGTTATATTTGTGGGACAAAAATGAATGGGCAATTATTATATAATGGGCCATCCTGCGACGATACGGTCACCTCTCATCATTAATGGCGGTACAGAGAGCTCATAACGCATCAAATTAATTAGCTTCGGTTATTATCTTACGACAACAATAACGACGACGACGACGACGACGACGACGACGACGACGACCACCATGACGACTAATTAACCGATCCCCATCTTTCGCCGTCAGCCAGGAAAGTGCAGCGTTCTTAATATCCGTGCAAATTTGCGGATGCACATTGTTGCCAGCGAATATCAAAACGTGCATGCGACGCATGCAAACCTGCTTACTTGGCCCAAGTGGCCGATCGATATATCGAGTTGGTTCTTGCTAACAACGCCCGCCCCACCACCTTCACGGCATACGCTGATAACAAGATGATGTTTTGCCAAACCGCGCTTCGTCTTGTCTCCCACCCTGTGTCTCCTGACTATACCTCGAATTATAGACATTAATTTCGAACCCCGAGCTCACGTCCGCGTTACGGAGAACTCCCACACTTCGCGCAAACGTCGAGAAAGAAACTTTCGAAATCGCATTTCCATCCGCAAATGTAACTTGGAACGCACGCAAATAACGAATAGAATAGAAATTTCCGGATTTTTAATACAAAATTGCAAATTGATTATCTGTAAGCGTAAAAGCGCGTCCGACAGGATACAAACGGAACGTTCGTTGGCATATCGCGCATTGCAAATGGCGGCGGAATCTGCGGAAAGACGCTGTCTAAATTTAGAGAAGCGCGAAACACAATATTACGAATACAGCGAGCGGCGAGATGAGCAGCTGCGGCTCTGTAATTAATCGGAGCCAACGATGGCCTGTCTGTAATTGGATCCGCTGCATCGCGGCGCAGCCGCAATGAAAAGTAAACAAGCTTTACGTATGGCTTTTTCGAGTCCTCAACTATTTCATTATACCTTGATATTCACCCTAATAACGTTATGCAATCTCTGTATGTTACTTTTTATAACGATAATAGTATGCTAACGTGATATCACTTCCTCTAATTATCCAAGACATATCCGAGCATTATCATTATTGACATTTCTGCTCACGTTGCCTTGCATTTTTCTTTTTGCGAAATCTTTACTTTCTCTTTTTTTTTTTTCAATATCTGGATACACTTATCTCGTTTTAATAACAACGTTTGAGATTTCAAGCAACACGAACAGATTTGAAGCCTTGCGTCCATGTTGTTAGAAATCAATGCGAGATATTTCGGGCACAGACAAAGAATAAATCATATTTCAACAATTCGGTCACCAACGCGTTTGCTCAATTCTTTCTTCATCCAGAAGTCCTATGACCAATTTCTAGTATCGTAGACGCAAGGCTCAATAAGTTGTAATAGTTCCGAGATAAAATATCACTAACGGAACTCAAAGTCAGCGTCTCATGTCAGAGTCATTCTGATCGTCGCGACGAGCAAGATGGGAATCGAAGATAAAGACGGAGTGGTAGCGACGAGAAATGACAGCAGACAGAGAAGAACACTTCGCACTTTCGACGCAATAAAAACTTCCACGCTGAGCGATATTTATCGCTCTTTCCGACCTTCCTCTTCGCGTACGCTTCCCTCGTCGCGACTCCGTTTTTACAGGATTCCTCGGGACTTTTTGTCGGCTGGCTCTCCCCTCTGCGGGGCATGCGAGCAAGTCTCTTCCGTTTCATACCCTTCCGTTATCTTCGCCTCTGTATCATCTTTGTCCTGATATGCTAACATAACTCGCTAATTGACCAACGAAGTAATCGTCGAGAACAGTATTAAACTTTCTATAATAAGCTATTACCTATAAGCTTTAAGGGGATGCTGGAGTGTCCAAAGTGTCGAGACATTACAGTCGTATGAAAATCTCCGAATTGACTGAACGGAATCGAAAAGCCTTTTACAGAATTTAAGTACGCAAAGTTAGGAAGTGGGGCAGTGGACTTTATATTAAAAACGAAAAAAAAAAAAAAAAAAACAAAACGAAAATTAAAAACTTATATTTTTTCAATTCGTAGGGCTGACGTAAATGTTTTCTTAATACAAAAATTTTAGCTCGTATAGACTATAAACGACGTTGCACCACCCGTCGGATTACGTGAACGAATAATATTGAGTTTATAAAATTAAAAGTTAAAAAAAAAGATTTGTACCGTATTCATTTGCAAATTACGTGTATACGTATGCTTGGCGAAGACTCGGGATGGTAAACAAAACAATAATTGTATCTAGTAGTAGGTGCTCTTGCAAGAGATGGCGTTGTAACATGTTAGATAAGGACAGATATATGCGTCGAGTGAGACAGAACAATAATGTGAAAAATGAATTAAAGATGTCACTATTATCGACATTTTTAATTTGAAATTAAACTGTACCTGCTATCGATATCAATCAAGTACGACTTCAGCATCCCCTTAAGCCTTAAGCTGTAAGAAACTGACCAATCAAATATGAGAAAAATAATCAACCGTGACCGGTCGATTATTCTTCCCACATTCGACTATGACTGGACAGTTTCTTTACGGTTTAAAGCTTAAAGGTAATATCTTAAAGGTAACATCTTGTAAAAAGCTCATAATGTTCGGTATCGTATCGTTTAAATTTCCCAAAGATATAAACGCGAAAACTACTACGAATGCAGCCTCATTAAAGATCCCCTTATTAAAAGATCACCGATTAAAACAACGTCGTAAATTACGTTTGCTGTAAGCGGCAGCTATACATTTTCGACGGATATAATTTCCTCGCTTCATGAGAGCCACGTCGAGAGCCATGGATCGTCCGGAATAACGTTTCCATTCACTCTCGTGGCTCCGCTTTTATGAACCTAGCCGCCAGTTTTCACACGCGCAATAATCGCGCTCCATAAATCGCCTCCACGATGATCAGCGCTGTTCAGCGGTATTCGAAAACTTGGCAGCATGTCACAATAATGTAACGTCATTTGTTGAAACAGAAGGAAAAGGGAAGACACAGACGAATCTTTTTATTATCATGCTACGTAGATCTCGTAGGAGTTTTTTTGAGCGTCCATCAGCAGCAAGGCGCTCTCATTGAGAAACGGATCCCGTCTAATATTCCGCCGGCTTTCTTTCTCGATCTCACGAAATCCGCCGTTTTTGTGCTATTAAAGCAGGATTGGTCCTTCGATCGGACCAAAAAATACCAGGTCCAACAGGAGGTACCTACGGTATCCGACGTATACAACGAACACAGCCTGCCGTATATTAACGATGACATTATGCTAACAGTATCGATTTTCTCCGCAATCTGTTCATTCTATTCTAACA